GTATCTATTAAAGTAATCAGTGTTTACTGTTCATCCTTGTTGTGATGTGACAACAAACTTAACGAATCTATGTATTGTATCTATTAAATTAATCAGTGTTTACTGTTTCATTTTTATTGACAATTGCATCTAATATTCTGATCCTAGGAAGCGATATGATATAATATATCATCAAGTAACATTTGAACAAGTATACACACCTGTAACGAAGCAGAAGATATACATATTTTATATCTGATATCTCTTCAATCACTTTGAAGTTGATAAATCGTTCCTTCAGTGAAACAATAGCACACGTATTTATTGACATTTTAATATTCGCTTACATTACAATGACTTCATCACTTGCCAAAATAACGTAACTTCGTTGCTGATGAGAAACAAAACGTCTACATATTGAGATAAGAATAAGTTTGAGCGCGACATAGTTACTACATATATATATAAAAAAAAGAAATTGTCAACTTTTTTTGCTCATTTTTTTTTTCTGTGTGTGTGCTTTTCGTCAGAGGAAACGTAGAAATGACAGGTGTGTCTTACCTGTCGACTTATGTTGAAGGAATTAAAACCAACTGAATAGAACATGGAATACGGTGTGTTATAGATGTTTAAAGAATCGTGTGACGTAATAATACATATATCTATCTGATACGCCTAAATTACCGATAAACCAATAATTGTTTTACAAATATGCCACAACCATCCCATATTGATAAAGGACGGGCTTTCGCAATACATGCTCATGAAATGTAGCATTGCAGAGCAGGTCGCTACTCACTTCGGAGTTCAAAAATCGACAATAATTAGGTCGGTTTTACTTCTCAACGCCAGGGAAAGAGTTGATGACAGACCGAGATCCGGACGTCAACGTGTAACATCGCGACGTCGAGAGTGGTTCATTAGATTTGCCTATTTGCGTGACAGGAGATTAACGGATGCCGAAACAGCACCAAATACCGTTGCTAATAGAAACCGTCGAATCCACTCAAAACTGTGAGAAACAGACTGTGAGGGGCAAGTTTACCACAAGCATCTGAACGCCGAGCTCGTCGTATGCGATTATTGACGACACATATACCCAGACGTGTTTCCCTACGAGACGTAGGAGGACCTTCACGGATGAATCTCAATTCACGTTATTTGAGCAGATGACCGTCAACGTGTGTACAGGTGTCGAGATGAGCATCTGCAAGACGCTTGTGTTTTAGAGCGCGACAGATTAGGTGATGGATCGGTTATGGTTTGAGAGGAATTTCCCATGGTTTCAAAAACCGCTTTTAATTGTCATTAACGGGAATTTAATGGATGTACGGTATCGAGATGAGATCCGGAAGCCTGGTGTGGTATATTATTTGGTACCATTTGACTCTTCAGCATGATAACGCTAGACCAAACTTTGCGAGGTTTTGTAGGGACTTTTTTGTAACCCAGAACATCGTCCCTATTGATTGGTCTCCATATGGCCCCAATCTGATCCCGACCGAACACTTGCGGGATGAATTAGAAGATTACGGAATCGAGCAAACTTCCCAAATAACCTTCGCCATTTTACAATCGAACTTACCGAGGAATGGAATAACATCCTCCTCGGACAGTCAATGTCTTTATGAACTTCATTTCATGCAGAATTAGAGACGCTATATTTGTGCGATGTAAGGGATCGGGCTGACAACTGTCGTTATTCCTACACTATGTAAATTGGGGTACCCTAATAAATGGCAGGCTAATGAAGTCCTCATTTATTAAAAAATCCAGAAATTTGAAGATGGATGGTCCAATATATAGGTTAAGTTAACGACTGCATTTCACAATTAACAATGTATGTAAAACAAACATATATTTCATTCTTCAACTAGTTTCCCGTTTAGTTCTATGTAAACCATATCAGGCTATGAACACCCAGGTCAAGCGTATGAATACATATTCGGTAGTCAAGGTAAGATTTCAACCAAAAATGAATCCTGGTAGATATCAATGTGATATTTACATTCTATGTTGCATTTTCCTATATATCTTTTTACGCAATAAAGACTGTATCTTAAATACTTACAGTGATTCGGTCGGTGAAGAAATCAATAAATCTACACGTCTTCTAGGTAAACAAAAGTGGTCACCAGTCACTTTCTCTTAGGTATTGATATACAGTGTACTGACATATCTGAAGTTATTGGACTGAAGTAAAACCTTCACAAAAACTGAGTGTCTTTACAAAGATATCGAATGATAACAGAACATTTATTGGCAAACGTAATTTTGCGACAAAATCATCAAATTATTATCGCTATGGAAGACAAAAAATATCGATCGCGCCATAACGAGCGCTATTCTATTTATCTTCAATCCGGCTTGTCTTCATATCAACTGTGTATATATCCTATATGATAACAGTTTAATACTTAAATATTTTATAAAAAGTAAGTTATTCATTATAATGAGCAGTCATAAAGGTCGATAACATCGCAATATCGATTATAAAAGCAATCGATATTCCCTTTAATATAATGAGCTGTTAAGGATAGGTATGACTCTATCAGAACCTTTATCAATTTTAATGATATGTTATTGATTTGGAACGAAGTCCTTAATCAACGTAAATTTCCATGAATAATGTATTGGAAAATACACGTCGCTATGTCAACTGCTGTATTAGACTGAAACCTTGGGGAATCTAACTGTCGAAGGAAATTTTTAACACCAGAAATACAGCAACAAATTTTGTAACTATATTACCATAAAAGAAACGTATCTCCGCAATATACCTATGGAAATAAAGAGATACTTCTAGTACAATTGCTGTGAATAACAATCTTCACGTGGACGTCATCTTTGATGTTGAGGAAATTGTTTGTCGGATTATAGAGAGTTTTGTCTTTTAGTGACGCTTTAGAGTTAAAAACCAGGAGAAGATTAGAAGACTTTTCGTGTTTATTTTTGTTTTTATCATTCAAGCATGTAAGAGAACATATGAAATTCTGTTGAATACGGTGGCTGATATGTGCTATTTCGTTATCTCGTCTTTAAGCAGCGAAAAGAAAACAAGAATTAACCAACACTAATTCTCGTCTTTCGCCCCGAAAGGTGAAAACAAACAAACCTAAGTTTTCATTTTTTCGTCGTTTCGCCCCGAAAATACAAGAATTAATCAGCCTTAATTCTCGTTCTTTCGTCTTTTCACTTTTCGTCTTTCGGGACGAAAACATGAAAAGAATCAATTTTGAACCCGAAAAAACGAAAACTATTTGGATTAACCAAAATTTATTTGTCAGGTTTCATGGATGAAGCAGAAGACGCTTACCCTTCAGGGGAACACATTGTCTTATCATCTTGATATAATTATCTATTATATTACGTCATTAAAGCCTCTAGTTAGTCGGTGTACAAGTGTCCTTTTATCAAACATTTTATTGTTAGAAGGATTTTGGGTATTTTTTGTTTTTGTTTTTTTTTTTTTTCACATTTTACATCGGAAACGAGCTTGTTCATGTGATTGGTATTTGTAAATCACATTTTAGTTCAAATTGAAAAGGTTTTAAACATTTTCGATAAAAAGGGTTTTTTTATTTAGGATTTTTTTATCTTATTTTTATTGCATTGGCCTATACTCACACATAAAAATATATTAGCTTTCCCTGTATTTCCATCGAGAAGTTAAGAACTGTACATTTGCAATAGATTATTATCCAGAACAAGAGCCAAGCACGGCGATCCATGGTACTGATTCGTATTTGTAGTATTGGGAACAATGACTCACAAATGATATGTTATTACATTCCTTGAAAGGTGATGGAAAATCCTTCGGCAGCTGTGATTCAAATATCATGTTGCAGGATATACCACCAATCAAAAATGCATTCATACTAACATGTCAAGGAGGATAATGATTGTAATGATCAAATCAACATTTTATCATCCAATTTCTTTTCCACCGATTAGTACTAATTTTTTTCAAGCTTAATCGCGTTGGCGAAGATTACTACTACAGTCGAATCTCGTTCTCTCGAACTCTTTTAAATCGCAGACCTCGTATAATTCGAAGTATTTCGTCCGTCCCGAACAAACGTGTCACAAAACATTCGAACTAACTTAAATCGAATACTCATTAATTTCTTTTCACGTGGTCCTACCGACTTCGAGATAACGAGGTTCGACTGTAAATGTTTTAGGATGTACAACAATCGAGAACGCACATAACGGTAATTGTCTCTACTGTTATCCGTATTTTCTGAACATTTATAAACGTCAATATTTCTTTTTAGAACATATATTCCACGCAATATTAAGATAAAGAATAATAATTAATCATTTCTCGTTTATGTTTCTGTAAGATTTGTATGAGGACATACCAATCTTCATTATTAGTTTGGCTTCACACCTGGTACCTAGCTTTTGTAATGTAAATACACTTTCCAACAAGACTACCTTTAAACAATGATGATTTTAATTTGAAATAGTGCAGGAAATTAAATAGGAATATTTTAACATTAAATTCATTAAATTTTTAAGATTGTTGTTTACATTTATGTTTTCTAGAGATACATGAAATGTTTATAATAACGCTCATGTTATTTGTATATTTGGATCTCTGTTTTTTTCAGCGATGTATAGTAAAAAAACAATTAACCTATCCAATTTAAAACAAATGTATTATCATTTAATTAATAATGCACTGTTAAAGAGTGTTACCTAGAAAATCAATATAACGGAGACATTGATAGAGGATAAGTTCACGATATAGCGGTATTGTTCAGAGTCATACTCTTGCAGACGCTTTTGATTGGCTGTTCTGGAGTGTCATAATGATACGGTATATACGGCTTGGTGCATTAAGGTTCCTCTTTGACAACCAGGAGTCTTGGGATTGTAACAGATCGAGTTTAGTCCATCGAATAACTTCAACGAAAAACGTCAAGATGTAATAATGTCGCGTCTGTTATTTTAAGTGTTTGTTGACATTTCATATGAATTCAAATATAAGTGGTGAGAAGTCTTTATGTTACAAAATGTCGTTCTTAACAATATCATTAGGCACCAAACATGTACACTATGGGATATATGTCTTAATGGTGTACATATTGGGATCAATTTTCAGACTGAATTCTGCCATCTCTACGGACTACAACTTCAGAGAAGTGACAAAAACAAAAGAACAGAACCACGTCGGGGCAGTTTTACAAACATCGCTTTGGAATTATAAGCTGGGATGCGCTAGTACGTGTGACACTTCCAATTGTCTGTCTTTCTCCTACAACTCTGTCACACTGGAATGCAAGACTTATGGGGAAGAGATTTGTTACCATGACGACGGTGTCACGTCATCTTCACTTCGATTCTACACGAAAGTGGTAATCTTTAGCTGTAAGTATGAGTAAATAGGTATGAAGTGATCAGTACAGTTTGAACCCATTACCAATAGTCAGTAATGTACAAAGACACATATACATGTACCATAGACCATAACAAACGTGCATATTTGATAGATTATATATAGATGCATGTATGTTTGCAGGTTTGTTGGAGGAGAGTTTTTCGATTTCGAAACAGCATCATTCCTTTTTTCTTTTTTATGATGAAAAATTATAAACAAACTATGTTTCTGTATTAAAACAATCTCTCATTTTATGTCTTAAATATACTGGACTGAGTTTACAATTTAAATTTGAGTTTAAAAATCTTAACATCTGCAACAAACAATGTTTTGTTTTTATTGGAATCTGGATAAAACGTCAAATCACGATGTTTTCCATGGCTATGCGCAACATATTGATCCACTTTACTCAGGTTAGATATGTTTATAAAGCGTCGAAATTTCCATCCAACCTTGTCTTCATCAATCATAGGTTATGCTTGTGATATCTTAAAAATAGTATATGAGTATAGATAAAAATATATTCTTTATCTTATGCAAGAACACTTATTTCATTAAACAATATTTTTATCGTTGAAAGCATTATAGATGTCAATCTTGTCTCATTTGCCTTTGTTACCTAATTTCCTTTCTGAAGATGATATTTAACAGTTACAATGATATACCCTCGGGTTTTGCATATAGTTTATTTTGTTTATTCATTTGTTTTAAAAATAAATCCTAGTTGTGTCGATTTCGAGTTAGAATCACGATTTTTGATATCCATGGTGTTTGTTTTGTACAAAGCTGTTAGGCCGGTTTAATACTAATTCCACGGGATACAGAACAAAAGCTGGCTCGGAAAGAATTGTAATCGATTGTTTCATATCTCGTTAAATATCATTGTTTGTCATATTCAGACACAATTCATTTTTCCGATATTCCAGAGCATTGTATAACTATTGATGATACTTCATGTCGATAGAAGTAAATGGAGTTATAATTACTCATCAGTTTAAACAAACATTGGTTCTGATTATCTATTGCCCGTTTCATTTTTTCCTTCTTCGCCGACAATAATGTGAAATAAAATACATTCAAGGGAAGACATTCTGACAGTTTATTACATGATTCAAAACCATGCGACCATTTCAAAGCAGATATCATTAGGATGATTAATTTGTTGTATCCAAATACATGCTAAAATCATTGGCAGTCATTAATCAAATAACCACATTCACCCATTTATCCTACAAGCGCTGTTTAAAAGCATTTGTCTCTAAGTGTGTTCACATGGAACGGAAACTTACCTATCGATCCTAACAAAAGACAAATACTATAGTTAGGATAGATAGTCAGGTCCCGTCGGAGTAGAATGCATGTAAGAACGTAATGTTAAAGATGAAGAACAATAATTTGCGGAAAATCTTCTGGGAGTATATATTCTACCGTTATTCCTTTTTCATAAACATGTCTCCTTTAATCCCATTTCAATTTTTTTAGTTTCCATGTGGTATAAACATTTATTTGATTTTCTACCATAACCTGCGCATGAACACCATATCCATTGTTTATTCATACGCATAATACACACGTGTATTATTGGTGATAGTCAAATCTATTGGACGAGGCATTCACATTTGAACTAATGGTACGGGATGTTTCCAAACAAGAGTACTGAATAAATACGTATTTTGCTCCAAAAATAGCGATTTTGTCTCTTTTTGCATGATGGTTGGTTTTTAAAGTAAAGTACTGCAATTTACGTGCCGAAAGTCTCTCGGGTCAACGATAAATTTGTCATATCTAGAGTATTTATTCACAGCACTAGTCACAGGTAAGGGATTTCAAAAAACAAATAATACCGATTTTCAAACAAAGCGAAAATGTTGCATGAAACCCATTTACAGTGACAATCGCAGTAAAACAATGGTTTTAATAGTAGATTGCTATCTTACAATTATCGCCTTTATTGGTGAAATAAATGAAGTTATACACGTACCGAACACGTGGTCGTACTGTATTGGTGCCAAAGATGTGCTAGTTCCATCTAACCATGCTAGCCCTATCACATTACCCTGGCCCGTGAAGCAGGTGTGGACGGATTGTATTTACCTTTGTAACGAATTTACATAATGTTTTAATTAATTTAAATGTACTCATAGCCAATTACAATTGAGAATCTATATTCGGATTCGGTACGCCAGTCCCATACCACTTGTGGCATCAGTAATGATGTCGTATTTCGACACCAAAAAAGGACATTTCATTTCTGGGTGAATGCTTGTCACCTAAGCCTTAAAGAACGTGAGAAGGCATTGGGTCGCCTGCCTAACTAGAAAAGACGGACTTTCTGGCTTGGTTGGCGATATCAAAATTCTGTCCTGGAATATTAACGGCGATTTGGACACTATAGACACATTCAAGAACTTTATACTTACCTATGACATTATATTTTTTTCGGAGTGTTGGATTCCAAAGGACTATGCATTAGATATTGACCAGTTTGTTTCCATTGTTATCCCTAGAAAGTTAACACGTTATACACAAGGGGGAGGTATCGTGCTACTTTTATGTAAGAGTATCTACAAAGACACATATGTGGGTAACGCCCTTTTTGACACTATTATTCCTGTAACCATTAGTAAAACAATAGTGAAAAAAGATATCATGATAATTTTTACATATATTCCACCAAGTTCATCAAAATTATTGGTATTATAATTGCGATGTATTTAACGAGCTCGAGTCTTTAATTTCTGATTCATCAGATTCCAAGCAGTTAATGCTATTGGGAGATTTCAATAGTCGAACCTGCAATGTAGATGATTTTATTTGTCATGATAACATACATGTGAGTATCCGTAATCTTATTGAATCTATTTTTAATTATGTACGTGATGACGTTGACAAAAATCTTCCTTCACGTAGTAACCCTGATTCTGGCTCTAATGAATACGGTTCAAGATTAATAAAGCTGTGTAAGTCCACGGGTTTCCGTATAAGAAACGGAAGAGATAAAGATGGGTTGTCAAATGATTTTACATTTTGTGGACATAATGGTATGAGTGTAATTGATTACCTTTTGATGCCTTTTGCATTATTTCCTACAGTTAAAATATTTATTGTGTGTAATTTTACAGAATTTTCTGATCATGCTCCTTTACATGTACAATTTTTTTCCAATATTTTGAAAGTGACAAAAGGTGATGAAGATCATGATGAGCCTGTAGAAAATTCCAGGTTTAAATTTACTTGGGATGACAATTTCAAACATCAATTTTTAGAGGCATTGAATATAAATTCAGATAGCCTCAAGGAGCACATTCAAATTAGTGGCGAACTCAACCAGGAAACTATTGATGGTAGTGTTATGAATTTTACAAACCAGTTACAAGAAATTATGGAGCCATTTTTCAAGAAAACTGTTTCTGTAAATGTTTTTGACAAAGCTGCTTGTGGGCGAGCTAACCACTCAAAAGGTGAAGACAAACCATGGTTTAACATTGAAGCTAAATTCTTACGTAGGCAATATTTAAATGCTTTGAGTATTTTTAATAAAAATGATAATTCTACCACGCACGAGGTTTTAATTGCAAAGAAGAAACGTTATAAAGTGTTAGAAAGAAAGTTGAAAAGTCAATACGTGATTTATGAGGTTGATATGTTGGAATATTTGCGTAAATACAATCCTAAATATTTTTATAAATTTTTTTAAAAAAGTAACTGTAACTCAACACCCCAAATGTCATTGAACCAATTATTTGACCATTTTAATAGTATTGCTAATATTAACAATAGGGTTGCTTCAAACCCCTCACTTGAATACGAAAGTGTCGCTGATAATGTGGTAATATTTGAAGAGTTAGATTCATATTTTTCTACTGATGAAATACTTTCTACAATAAAGAAACTGAAACGTGGCAAATCACATGGTCAAGATTGTTTATTGAATGAATGTTTTATTGAAGGCAGAAATTTTCTGTTACCACTGCTTCAAACTTTATTTAACAACATCTTAAGTTCAGGTTGTTTTCCGCCTGATTGGTCTACTGCTGTGATTGTACCAGTTCATAAGAAAGGTGATCGTACAGATCCTAATAATTTTCGTGGTATTAGTCTAATTAGTTGTTTATGCAAATTGTTCACGTCTATTCTAAACAGTAGACTGCTAGATGAGTGTAGAAGACACAACATTCTTACAGATGCGTTTGCGTTGCATACGATTATTTCTAAAACATTGTCCAATAAAAAAAGGTTATACTGTTGTTTTGTAGATTTCCGTAAGGCCTTTGATTTAGTGGATAGGTTAATTCTCTGGTACAAATTAAATAAGCTAGTGTTTCGTGGTAAATGTTTATCTTAAATATATAACTCAGTAAAATATTGTGTTTTGTTAAAGGGAAAGTGTTCAGATTTTTTCCCTAATAATGTCGGATTGATGCAAGGGGAAATTTTATCACCTCTGTTGTTTTCCCCTTACATTAATGATTTCGAACAAAGTTTTATTGAGAAGGGCGCGACTAGTTACGATTTTGGTTATCTCAGTCTTTTTCTCCTTCTATATGCAGATGACTTGGCTTTATTTTCCGAAACGGTTGAAGGATTACAAAACTTGCCGAATAATTTAAGTTCTTATGCTGATAATTGGAAACTAATTGTTAATACAGAGAAAACAAAAATTGTCGTTTTCCGAAATGGAGGTATTGTCAAAGAAAATGAGTGTTGGACATACAAAGGGGAAAGTATTGATATTGTTGACCATTTTTGTTATTTGGACACTCTTTTTCGTTTTAATAATAAATTTAGTTGCATGATTAAGCACGTTGCTGATCAAGGACGTAAAGCAATTTTTGGCCTTCGTACCAAATGTAATTCTTTGAACCTAAATGTTAAAACTAAGTTACATCTTTTTGATACTTACGTTGGAAGTATTCTTTTTTATGCATGTGAAGTTTGGGGTAGCCTCAAAGCGACTGAGTTGGAAAAAAATCCATCTTGAGTTTTGTAAAAAATCTGCTTGGTGTTAAGAAGTCTACTTGTAATGCTATGGTTTACACTGAACTAGGACGACTGCCTCTTGTTAACACACAATTGTATAGAATGTACAAATACTGGTTTAAATTGTTAAAGACTGATAATTGCATTTTAAAAGAGGCGTATAATTTTCTATATATAGATGCAGAGAAAGACAATCCAAAACATACTTGGCTTGCTCATATTAAGCAGAAGTTATTTGAACTAGGATTTGGATACGTGTGGATAAGGCAGTCGCCCTCCGATGTTATTCTTCTCACTAGTATTAAACAGAGAATAGAAGATCAGGCTAATCAAATGTTGTTTAGTTCTTTGCAAACTACTAGCAAATGTTATCTGTATAGGCATATTGTTGATAAGGTAACTCTGCAATTTTATTTAACAAAATCCTTACCTAAACAAAGAAGAATTATGATAACCAAATTTCGTCTTGCTTCTCATAACCTGGCCATAGAGTATGGTAGATACAGAAATATAGATAGGCGTCTTCGACTTTGTTTAAATTGTAATTCTATGGATATAGAAGATGAATTTCATTTTCTCCTTGTTTGCCAGTGTTATGCAGACCTGAGGAAAAAGTACATTAAGAGTTATTTTGGCGTAAGCCATCAGTTTTCAAAATGGTCGATCTTTTGAATTCTCAGAACCTAAAGGAATTAAATTTGCTAGGTACGTTCATGAAGCACACAAGCTTAGAATTGTATAATTGTATTGTATTTTTTATCCGTCTGACTACTGTCCGTCTCTCCGACTTTTTCAATAGGTTTGTCCGGCCGCCCGTCGTCTTGACATATTTGCTAGTCTAGATCTGTTTTGCTACTATTTACCTGATTTCTTATGTGTAGTATAAGGTATACAAATTGTCCATTTAAATTGCAATGCTGTGCGCAATATGACATATAAATCATAATAACCTGTTTTTCTTGCTCCCTTTGTATAAGTACTTACTTTTGTTGTTACTATTGGCGTTGTACGTTATTATTCTTACACAGCTATGCCTTCAAATGTATTTGATTATTTTGTATTATTTGATTTATGTACATGTACTGATGGGCTGTAACGCCTAAAGTTAATAAATGATGAACTACCTGGGAATTTTACAATGTATTACGAATCCTGCCACATTAGGAGCCTCGCGCACTTCCAGCCGTGCCAACAAGGGTAATTGATATACATTTCGACAATTGGCTTCACAATCATACAACCTACGATGTATTCTTACGCGAAAGTGTCAATGGGGGCGAAACAATGTTGTACACAATACATATATTTTTACGTTCAAAGGTTATGGCAGAAAGAAGTTCTATAACTCGTGACAATTGATTATCATCGTTATCAAACTCTCTTTAGTTCATTTTCAAATTTAGAAAAGACACTCGGCAAAGCTTCGTGTCTTTTCTAAATTTTAGAATTAACTAACTCGAGTTAGATAACGATGATAATAAACTGCCACTCGTTGCAGAACCTCTCTTTAAGTTCTTGCAAGGGCTAAATGAATTGTGTGATATGAAGCTAGGCGTTCTTGATCCGAAGTATATATTTAAACAGTCTATGTGCAGATGTGCTGTTTACGTTAAACGCTAAGGTAGGAGAGATATCTGGACTATTACTTAGTATTCACACAAAACGACGCTTGACCCACTACTTAAATTGTTCTTGCCTGAATAGATATGATTTTCTCTTGGGAAAACTGGTACGTTGCCGTTATATTTCACTCAGGTTAATATCAACACTTATTGATATGGCGAACCTTTGTATAAATTAATAATTCATTTCATTGGGAAACATTCACCACATCATAACAGAGGAGTAATCATCCAATTGTTTTAACCAATTTTATTAAACATATTTAGTACCTTTTGGTTTGAATAACTAAGTTTAACGTCATTTAAAAAGAAAGTTTCTCTTTCACATATAAATATCTAGGTTCCAAATAAGTCCACAAAAGATCATAGTAATGACACGATTGCTATAATATGTATCTGATTTGGACGTTCAGAATCTCGAAACGACGCTTATCATTATACGAGTCGGTTGAAAGTATCAAGAAAGAAAAACACCAAATAAATTCTGGTTAACTTTAGTGCTTTAAGAAATAAAGAAAATTTGGCGCGCTACAGTTAGTGATGGATAGCGCAATTATTGTGACGTTGACGTTTTGTGTGTATGCTAACATGTCTTGATATTGGTGAAGTTATATGCCGGGTACCTGGAGGAATAAAGACATTTTAATTACGGCCAAGTTCATTTGTGTAAAATTATCTTTATGTTTAGTACACATTTAGAGTATGTAGAACAAATTCAGAAAAGCAAAAATGTTGTCATAGTTACGGCTTAAGTTCAGACATTTGTGCTTTATACCTTTCACTTCCGGAAGATTTTGTTTTGTGTCCCAGACGTGAACGAAATATGGCCTTGCACATGTCAAAGGTAAAGAGCTTGGTAACGTCGGCGGCTATATTGCCGACTACAACATCGTGATGCCGTCTAGAGAAATACAACGTGACATAAACTGACCACTGCAATGTGTTGATGTTACTAATTGATATAACCATTTTCTTGTGTCTTGCATAGTTTCGTTTTTTGGTATACTGATCAGAGGAGGAAGTACTGATAGGAAGGAAAGAAGGGAAGTGACTCTGATAGATTGTTAGTAATTGGTAATTGTTAGGTCTGTTATTAATCCTATATGAAAGGTATATGTTTGTGCTATAAAGCATGCCTTAAACATAAATAATCTTGTTTTATTTTATTTTATTTAGCTCTGAGTCACTGTGGAGATGTGCCCCATGTTCATTGTTCGGGAGTGTACACAATAGACGGAACTAGTAACATCGACGTATACTGTGATATTGACACTGCCGGGGGACCATGGACGGTATGTTGTTCCTGATTCACGTCACAAATACCCGTATTTACAGATTAAATAATGCTAATAAGGTGATACATCAGTTAGTGCTCTTCGGATTTTAGTTTTATATGTACCCCTTCTTTCTTGAATGTTTATACGTTTTTATTACTTCGAGTTTCTTGTAATTCTGATTTTTGATCATTATCAGTGACTGTAATTGAAATTGAGAAATTCTAGTTTTTAAAAAATGCAAATTTAGTGTTGGAGGTAGAGGTCAGATTGAAATTTTATTTCAAAGAATAGCGTGTTAAAGATTTTCTATGCTAACTATTTTCTTTGCTCCTGTTGATCTTGAGTTTAATCATGTAGACTTGTTTTAATGTGAAATCAATATACTGTCATTTTTCATTTTCTAGATTGTCGCTAACAGGTATGACGGGTCTGTAGACTTTTACAAAACATGGAATGAATACAGGAATGGTTTTGGAGATTTGACAGGAGAGTTCTGGCTAGGTACGATACATCGCATGTCGCATAAATAATTATGTCTAACAATAGTGTTACAGTCTTCTTAACTCAAAATGTTCATAAAAAAAACATTTAGGACACTGGTCATTCAGTACAAGAATAAACATGAAGCATTTTTTCTTGAAATGAAAGTAATAAATAGAAAGTACATCACCATATGTTATGAAGATAAGAAACTTAATTTGAAAATAGATTTCACATCATGATAACTACTTGTACGAAGTAGTTTTTTTCTGATATATAAAACGTATTTATATTCTATGTCAGGTTTCGAGAATCTAAGACTCCTGCTTGCCCAGAATATGAAACTTCGAATCGAGATGGAAGGATGGAGTGGAACCCAAAGATACGTTGAGTACAGTACATTTCAGATATCAGACGAGGCGTCGGAATACGTGTTGACGGTCGGTGGATACTACACTCCAGATGGACTGTGTAAGTCGACACTACAGATATGACAATGTCTTTTCATTAAAGCAGAGATTGTAAAATATTGATTTTGCTTCAATTTCAGTCGGGAGGAAGAGTTCCGCTTTTGTTTTATTATTCTAAAAGACACACATGTATCGTTTAGAAATAAACTTCATCTACTTTACACCAAATGCAAAACAAGCATTAAGCATATACTAGCCACTCTGAAGTCTGATTGTGGGAGGAAACTGGATAGCCGGGGAAAACCCACGTGGTCGGGTAGGTAGCCCTATACCTTTTCACGTCCGTGCCGGGAATCGAACCCCTGACGCCTAGGTGAAAGGCGAGTGTGTTATCACTGAGCCATCCACCATTCACAAATGTTTCTTTTCTTGAAGTGTTAATTCTCGAATTGATATTGATAAATTCTGAGTTCAAATAACGAGTGAAAAAAAATTATTCTTGACGATAGTCACTATTCTGCGGATGAACGAAAGTGTAAAGCAGCTCATCAATTTAAATATTTTTGTGTTAGTGCTGATGGAAAATTCTGAAATTTGTTATCTTTATATGTAGATTAGTATTTGATCTAACTTAAATGTAAGATATGAACATGAGAAGATATATATATCATTGTTAACGTTAAGAATTGTCATCGTATAAAAACATCAAGAAACTTGTAAACATAATCGTCATCCAAACTCATATTCTTTAATACTAGTGCAAAATAAAATATATGTATACACCAATCAAACGCACAAGAGGAACAAGAGAAGGAAAAGTAAGGGTAAGCAACATCGACAACACCCGCCGTGTAAAACTTGGTCAATTCATGTAATGTCACATTTACAAATGAAAACAAGTGATACAACAGTGGAACCAAGAAACAAACGGATATAAAACATGTCCGGTTTCATGTCCCACAAAGAAATACAATATTCCTTAATGAGATCACGACCGTAAAATCTCCCCATAACTTTCAGCAATCTTTACACCTTAGATGAAATTCGTGATATTGGGAACTTGTCCTTGAATATCGAAATATAAAGACAATTGGTTTGGAATGCAGAAATGCTGTCCAGAAATAGATAATAAAGCTTTGTGGAAAGTTGTTCATCTTGGTCTCGTTGTAAGAAAAGATCGAAATAGGACACCCGTGTAGAAGAGTCTGTCGTATACATGCTTTCCAATTCTGGATGGTATATACGATGGATGTGTTTAAAAAATATCTTGTTGTCTGAAAGTGACATCAAAGAACTCTGCAAGGTCTTTGTGACCTGCTTTGAATGTTTTGATGAGCTCTGAGATAAATCAAGCCTTAGATGAAACAAAGTCAGTTCAGCTTGCATTGGGATACTGTCAGTTTCCGTAGGTAGTCTGTTGGGAAAATCTTACCACTAAACAGGATGAAGATATTGTCAACCAGAAACTTGATCATTGCGTCCTCCGTATACTTTTATCTTAATTTTGACGTATTTTCACGAAGTACGCTTCATTATAATCCACTACCATATATCTATTTTTCATCAAAATGTTTTTTTTTCTTTCAGTTAACGCCCTTTCCTACCACAACGGTAGGCGTTTCTCTACATTGGACAACGATAACGATGGATTCAGTGGCAACTGCGCAAGTAGTGCTCATGGAGCATGGTGGTACGATGAGTGTATTGACTCAAATTTGTTTGGAATATACCAGTCAGAAAATGGTTATCAATCCATGGTCTGGAAGTACTTCTACGCCACTGACACCAGTTATACAGCGGTCAAAAAGGTCAGAATGATGTTGGTGAAAAAATAGAACAAAGGATTATCTTGTCTTCATTTAAAATCTTCCGATATACATTGCATTCGTAATAATTAAATTCCTTTAACAGTCAACTAAAACTGCAGCTAATATACAAGAATGCATTCAATTAATTTTCGTATTTTTCTTTTTTTTATGTAACAGCACACCATATCAGTGTATATTGACGTAAGAGATATGAAAATTGTCAGTTCCTTATATTTTAACAACACGCTGTTAAATAGTGTACACATACATAAATGATAATGAGTAAATTAAGGATCAATAACAAATATATTTTTCCGGTGTATATTTAATTTAGTCTTAATTGTTCTAAAAGTAGCATTTTTCCTAATTTTTAAAAATATCTTATTGCCGATAGAACACGTTTTGTTTTTTAACAACTGTATTGCCCCTGACATTTCTTTTTCATTAGAATAATAGCTGATAGGTAAAAGTAGTCTTTATTCATTAAAAATATTTGATTTTTTTAAACATCAATAACGGCATACGAAAACAATCAATCATTCTTATGTCCAATGTTTTGTTTGTATTCAGTTTAATTTCTCGCAACAGTCACAGTCAAATATACATAGATGTCAAGTCCGTCACCAAGAATGGGGATAAGGATAGAAAGGAAAGAAAAACGTCAAAGATTAGAAACAATCAAGATACCGATAGTTGCTGTGAAATGGGGACACCGATCTGTTTGGGTTTGTCCAATGTCCCTTTGTAGACAATACAGCAGAAAGCATCCACTTCTGCAAGGAGCTCTCTGTAAGTCCTAACGCATATGCAGTGAATACAGCAGAGTGGTTTTCTAATCTACCCTTAAAGGAAAAATATCTGATATTCCAGGCATTGCAACCCGGTTTGGGGGGACGGGGTTACTTTTACTAGCCACTTACGAAATGCAGTAAGATGCCATCAGGAATATTCTTTCCGAACTCCTGTCTAGGTTTTTGTTACATGAATTAACAGCTGGGGAGCCTCATGACTTATTGTGACACTTCGTGTAGCATTCGTGATGTCTCGCTGGTCGGGTAAGTCATGTTTATGTAGTTCTTTCATGCGTATATGTCTCATTTAAAATGGAAATAATTGGAAAGGTCGATCCTTTTCACTGTGGTAGTATGTTTAATTTTTCAAATCAATTACCTATTGTTCATCAAATAATCTATATAGCTATGCTTTTATATTTGACAAAAAGTTATTCAGAACGACGCACATCGTGGACGCTAAGCATTGTTCGAAATGACATAAATAATAATGAACAATAAAGTGAGGTTAATTAAGTATACCAGGAAATGTCACCAGGGACTCGTTTACTTTATATTATGGTTGTGTTGCCGTAGTCGAATAGTATGTAAAGAAACGTTACATTTACCGCTGTGTGTGTGTTTGAAAACAATGGCTTAACAGTGTTTTGTCCGCTTACTCCCTCTAATTGCAGTGGTTACCTAATGAGGATGACATAAGTATTGTCACGTGCTCTCATTCTTACCCTACATTGGTAGGAAAAGTTAAGAAATGTTATCAATATTTAACCTCAGAGAGACTTCTAGAAATTTTTATGATGTGAGTAGGAATAAGGTTGAGGTGGGGAACTACGTGTTGGTGTTGTTTTATTCGACACAAGTTGTTATAAATCAATCAAAGCGTTAAGAACATGTATTTCTCAGCTTTAACGTAAAGATGATTCAGTCAATGTGGCTTTCGAATCCTCTGAATACAATCATCATCATCATCATCATCATCATCATCATCATCATCATCATCATCATCATCTAACGAATACGGATTAAATTACATCTTATACGGTTTACGGCCTTAAAATATGTTGATATAAGCATATGTTTTGTAGTTAGACTTTTCATATGTTAAAAATATAATTTATTTGGAAAAAAAAAGATTCATTCGAATATTGGCGCGGTTCAGAATTTACACATACGTGATGTCCTTCTAAAATTATCAGACACAAAGATATGAAAATTAAGAATTTTTTTTGAATTTGCACCTTTCCATATAGGTCTTAACATTTCTTTCGATCATTTCCGATTTTTCCTAGTTGCTTTCTGATCTTCAACAGTTTGGTCCATATCATCATTGATGAGTCCTGAAAGGACAAAAGAGATGTATCTTGAATTTTAATTGCTTGGCACTAATGCGTCTACCTCTAAATTTATATGTAAAGGTGCTATTCGCTTGTGTGTCTTTTGTACAATCTTTCACAGCGCAAGATCGGTATTGTTGTCAAGTTACATTGGAACCAAATTCTTAGGTCGGAATGGTGTGATTTTGACTTCCAGGATATTGATTGAAATAAGTCACAAGGCAGTTGTTCCTTTAAAAAAAATCGAGAATGGACGTTGCGGTTATAAAAAGCATTATGGAAATGATTGTTCCATAATCATTTTTCTATATTTTGTAAATAGAGCTTTATCTTTACAAGAAAAAAATGCTTATCTTTACAATCGTTAAAAAGTGCTGGTGAATTATGTATGTGCACTCGAATTTGACTCAACGGTCAGATCTTGTAAATTAAATATCACGAGAACAGATGAATATTAAAAAACCAATTAGTCATAAAAAGAATTAGATACATAAGCTTTCAACACGTTTATCACGTGAGTTCAAAAAGATGTCAACTCAATTTAGAGGTCAAACAGTAAGGAGGATGCAACGTTCGAGTAGTATTCATTCATTTAACACATCAAATTAGAATGCTGAATCCCTTTCGTACGCCACGTTCCGCGCTGTTTATGCTGTAGCACTGCCATTACGGAGTAGCTTCGACATGCTATTAGTTATAATACCAATCTAACTGAACACAGATAATGAGTAATCAGATCAATATTACTTCGCCGCTAGAGGTTCATGATGCCATACAATGGAAACTATATGAACATAAAGACAATTAATTTACTATGACCTATTGAATATTTACCATACGAAGGGAAAATTCGTTAGTGATTATAGTATAATTTTTACGAGAAAATATGCTGATCCTGTTTAGTATTTATATTGACTCAGCTGTGCCCTACTACATATTGGATTCAACTGCATGATACAGCCGTTTTGTCCTTCGAGTACTTATCAGTGATGTTAAGGGCCTAAATTTTAAAACCATGGTGGCGTAAGAGGACAATTAAAATCCCACAAAATACCAAAATGAAGACAGGAAAGTGGATTCATTTATCTGATAATATATACTCTGAACCGTGCCACTATTCGACTGAATGAAATTATGGCATGCAAACGAAACTTGTGGACGTTCGAAAGTTATGCTGGTATATCCAGCTTTTTCATAATTTAAGAAACAAGTCCACACAACGCCACCGTAATTACCCGCCCACCCCCACCCCTCCCTCGTGATGAACTGAGTTGCTCTTCAGACAAATTTAATAAAACTTAATTAGGTAGAAATTAATATGTTTGTAAGAAAAATAACAAGATTGTTCTTTAAACTCCAAATTTATGAGGAGAAAGAATATAAACGTCCTTCATTTCATTTGAATATAATAGGCAAATTACATATCGTATGGTCTGAAAATGTTTAGAAGTTGATATTGCTAGCTGTTTCTAATGAAGGACAAAGGATAAAGCACTAATATAGAACACATCACAGGTAGTAGTAGTATATCGATTGGTGTCGGATGCATCTCCTTTAAATATTAAAATGTATTTTGTATTTCTATTTCTAGAGAGTTGACCAACTCAAATATCAAATAGCACTTTTCCAAATAAAGTGAATTCTCAATGAATTCACGGAAAATCCATGTTATGTAGAGAAATTGTGTATCCCCATGTAGTCCTTTTTATAAAACTAGACTGACATTTGTTTTGTTTTGTTTTGTTTTTTGACAGGTACATTTAAATTATTTGGTATGATTTTGAATCTGTGGTCGAAGGAAGGGCTTTGTAGATGCGCAGGGTTATATTTACGTACATCTAAAACATTACGAAAATGTAGAACGTTAAACTATATACTTGATTTACCATTGTTCTAAGTGTTTCACTCCGATGTTCCTGATTTAAGACATGACAATTTAAACTTTGCATTACACTATGGAAACCATATATTAGATACATACGTCTAGACCGTGCATTTAATAATGTGTTATGCTTTTGAATAAAAACAACGAAACTTAATTCAAAGACAATATTTTATTAAATGCGGGTTAAATAATGCAAGGAAAATCAAGAAAGAGAATTTTTGGTTTTTTGTTTTTGTTATATATATCTATTTCACAACCTTTTGAGGTAACATTTAGATCTTCATCATAATTAAGACGCATCGATTACTAACAGACCATTGTGTTATTTCTGTTCTAGCTATATATAAGCAACGATGCTTTATAGAAAATATAAATGTCATTGTACACCATTCACGCACATTTTCTAATATCATGATCTTAATGACAATGTTTACAATTTTCAGTTCATAAACTATGTAGTAAATTTGTATGCACGCATACATTGCAATCTAGTCTGATGTTTCAAGTATTATGACGTTAAAATAGAGATAACAGCTACCGAGTTAAAACGACCGAATTTCACGTACTGACTGGTGTTTCAGCTATACTGATAAATTTCAAACTTTGCCAACTACATATCGTAGAAAATATATAACTTAATTTTATGTATTGTGAAAATGAAAGCTTGCTATCGTGATTTCTTCAGAAGAACGGGTTGGATTCTTCCCCAATTTCCCAAGGATGTTATCTACTATCTTCCCCTGTGTTATGTATAAATGTTGTGTATTAATCTAAATTCATATGTGCTGTGTTTACATGCATTGTATCATATTGATTGTTTACATAAAAACCTGTTTATAATTATTTGGCACAAGATGTGTAGAAAATGTTTGGCTGATTTTTTCTCGAAAGCTCGGTTACTAGAATGACCTGTGTGTTTCCGGAAGTTTCTAGAGACACATGTAAACAAACTAGGTACCTGCTAGTCTAGAATCATTTAGAAAAGAACTTTCTAGAAACCTTCAGTGTATATATACA